TTATTAATAGTTCCTCAAGACAATTTACCAAAAATATATAATATACACAATATAGCTTTATAGTTCTTCCAAAACCATACTCAAAAGTGGTCACATTTTTTTATCAAATTGACCAGAATGCTTTTTGGCTATATTTTAATAACAATCAAAAATTTTATATAACTTTATTAATCTCAAATTAAACTATCTAAAATTTTTCAAAATCAAAATATTATTTAATATACTACCCATATATGCATACTTTTATAATATTTATTTTTATATATTTAGACCATATAAAATTAATTTTTTGGTTCTTATAACATAAAATTTTTAAAATAATCTGGCAATCTAGCTTTTAATTTTATTTTCAAAAATTTATATGTAAAAAATATATAAAATTTTTTTACAAAAATTTAAAAAAGTTTATTCAGATAATAAATATAGTAAAAATTTTTTTTCAAACTTTTGTTGAATTTGATCTGGCCGAGTTATGAGAACCAATTAATTAAGTTTGTATGGCCTTATATATTTTAACTGCTTTTCTTGCAACAATTTAAACTTTCTTTTTTATTAATATACTTGTTCTAATTATACTCCTTTAATTCAAACTATATTGTTACAAGTGAACTATAGCCTTCTTTAAAATATAGTACTTGCAACACAGCACATGGTGACAGGGATCTATATAGGGTCAGAATAGATATAAAGCAGTGTGGAAGTGGAATATTACTTCACTAGGGCGATTTGGTATAGTTTATACAAGAGTAAGATATATGTTTATTAAGATATATTTATTTATGGTACAATATCAAGATATAAGGCTATCCTAAGGTATCTATGCCTAAAGAATTCTAATAACTTAAAGATTGTAGGGAACAAATCCTAGAGTGCAAGAGAGGGTAAAAGCTAGGGTTTATATAGCTTTTACAACTAATATAAATTATATAATAACAACAATACAAAAGTAGAAAAGGTATAAAAAGTATAAAAGGCACTAAACGTATAAAAGGTACAAAAGGTATGAGGTATGAAAGGTATGAAAGGTACAAAAGGTATAAAAAGTATGAAAAGTATGAAAGGTACATTTCGTCTATCATCTAATTGCTGGCTATCCGATAGTCCGTTTAACATGTATTGTAGCTTGTTACGATTGTCATGATCTTCCAGATCTTTTGAGAACATAATCTTTAATATGTTTCTAGGTGTTTACACATTCTATAACAATATGATACTATTATCAATACCAATTTAAATTTTTTTTTTCATTAATCAAACAAGCTTATATATACTATTTCTTTACACCCTGCTTTCAATCTCTTACTATTTCAATTATGCTTTTTCTCTTTTAATTCTATACTTAAAGATCTTATATTTATATTTCTAATTCAATCTCTTTACTTATTTAAAATCTCATACTCTAATATTTCTCAATTTATTATAGTTTTTTCTCTCTATAATTACTCTTTATATAAGCATATCATATAAAACCTCTTTATAAGTATATTTATTTTAAAACTAACTATTATAAATATATAGAAAAAAACCTTTATATAAACACAATACTTTATAAGTATATTTTTAAAAAAAGTTATTATAATTCCAATAGTATAATTATAGTAAGGAAAAACTGTATTTAGTTACTTTTTAAAATCTCTGATTAACTTTATAGCAATATTTAAATTCTATATTATACTAATTTTTTCAACTAGAAAAAATCTTGCCAAATTCCTTTCTATTCTAATTATAATACTTTACTCTAATTTTTTTTACCATTAATTGATAAAAAAAACAAAATTAACTATACTTATAGCTATTTTGTAGCTCTATTAACTAATTATATTTTGAACTTAATACTTGTCTTTCTCTAGAACAAGCTACTTTTAAAATTAATATTTGATTTACTATGTGAATCAAATATAGCATACCTATTAATTATATACTAACTATTCAAATCTAGATAAGTTTTGACTACTTTAGTAGATTTAGGTCACAGATAATTAGTTTGAGCTTTTAGCTTGAGCTTTTAGTTTAAGCTTTTATTCTTGTATATAATTTATATTTATTTGTTATTATTATTAAGATGACTTCTTTGGCCTAGCAACTTTTTATTAACAGATATATACTAATATAGTTAAATGAAAATACAACTAGCTACTGTGCTTTTGGAATCATCTACACTAGATGCCTATATCTGCAGCCCAAACTAGAGCTATCTATTTAAACCCTCTAATCATAACTATTTTTATAGCAACTTCTAATAACTTCTATACTAGTATCTGCTAGCTATACTAGTTTGCATTGACTAATTATCAGCTTGCATTTTTCTATTAAGCAAATACTGTATATAGTTATCTTCAAGATAAACTTATTAAAGCTTTCTATACTCTATTTTGGCCTAGAGTTAATATCTCTATCTGGATTTATATATTCAAATATATACTATATTATATGATATAATATAATATAATGTTTTAAATCTGGATATAAATATATTTGTATTTAAATTTATATTCAGATTTATACTATAATAAAACCAGATTAATTTAAAAATAAAAAATATATCTAGATTGAGGTATTAACTCTATTTTGGCTAGCCTAGTCCTTCACAATTTCTAAAGATTCTACTTGTGATATAGTTTAGTAATTGCTATACTTATATAAGGTTCACTTTCTACCCTGATACTTATATTTAAACTTTTCTTTTTCTGTAATTCTCTAATTAGTATATCTTTTACTTTTAACTGACAACTCAGAAAGTTTAACCCTGATCTGGCTCTAAATGCCTTTGGCCTATCTCATCTTATATCTTTTTTCTTTAGTTTAAAATTCTAGTTTTTCAAAGCATCTAATATATCATTTTGGTCTATACCTATTGGCCTAAAATTTCTAATTCACAGGTCTGCTAGGAGTAAAGCCTTCTGCTATCAGTTTTTCAAACCAGCAACCTGGTTGATATGTATTGTATACTTCTATCAATTCCTGATTTCTTAAATTGGTAGTTTGGTTAGTAAATCTCACCACTTAAAGATCTTTTGTTACTTGGTTTATTGGTTTTGGTTTTAACTTCTAAATTTGGTTTTCTTGTAATACTATTAAAGGTTTCAGCTACCTTCTTACTTGAGTCTTCCAAACAGATATTAATCATTCTGATTATCTGAATTTTGTGTACTAATAGATAGTATAGCAAACAACTAATTGGCAAACAATTATTACTAAATACAGATCTATTATTCAATATTATCATCCCTGGAATTTGAACTCTAGATCTGCTGCTTGGAAGATGACAACTCTTCTACTTTACTATATTATTACATTTCTTTATTTGTTATTATACAAATTAAGTTTTTATATAGTTGATATATAATTATTTATATAAATTAATCAATAAAGATATAAGCAAGAGCCTCATCTTAATATTAAAAAAAAAGTAATAATAATAATTTTTATTTTTAGATATTTTTGCTACTTTATTTTAATAAATTTAAAATATTAATCTCTTTTATATAATAATTATCTATTAAATTTCTAGCTTTAAAATATATAGTAAATTAATGTTATCAATTATTATAATTTTGTAATTATAATAATTTTTTTAAAAAATAGATATGGCAACTTAGTGTAGTAGTCTAGTCGTCACCCTTTAAGTAGTAGGTTTAGAGTTCGAATTCTATAAATGACAATTTTAAAAATGAGTCTGTATTATAGTTGATAGTTATCAATTATCAGTTGGATCTAGAGTCAAATTTGTAATCTTGGTTATACTAGCTAGTAATGGGAGCTTTGATGCAATAAATCTAAAAAACTAGAATAACTTAAATCTATTTGGGAAGTTTCAAATTTGGAGATAGCGGTGATTTTTGATAGTACACAGAAAGGCTAAATTTAAACAGAGCCCAAGATCAGAAAACCAAGCAATCAAGTCCTTAAGTGAGAGATATACATTAGAAAAAAAGAATATATGCTCTGAAAGTATGTACCAAGAGAAAGAAGATTATAAGAACCTAAAGCCTAGACAGACCAATCTTTTCAGGTTACTAGCTAGAAGTAAAAGGATATTAATAAAGAATCTGGGTAAGAAAATAGTTCAAATATGGGTACTGGGATTGTTGTAAACTAAATAAAAGCAAGGAGTACATAATGGATGTCTAATTAAGAAAGCCGATACTTGAGAAATGACTGTAATATAGCAGTATCCCAAAAGATAGTATAAGATATGATTATAATATAGCAGATCAATATGTACTAATTAGAAAGAAGTTATAAGAACATGCAGATGAATACATATGTAGGACATATACTACTCTGTTAGGTTTACCTCAAGGATAAAAACACCAGAAATGGTTAGTAGGTTCTAAGATAGAGTGTAATAGCCTAATAGGTAAATACCAAAATCTATATATAGTAAGAAATACTCATAGATTAGAGAGTTGATAGTGATAGTTAGAACTAGATAGTTTAAATTTACAACCCCTGTAGTTAGATGCAGATATAACAAATAGTGTAAACCCTTAGTATAGTACTAACACTTTAAATGGACTACTTAAATTAGGCACCAAAAATGCACATGTGGCTTGATGTACTATTGTTGTAATTGTATATAAAACATTGTCTATACTTTAATAAAAAATTTTCAGGCCAAAGAGGTTATCTTAACACCAAAAAAAATAATAATAATTTTTTTAAAAAATAATATTTTTCAATTATAAGTCTAATTTTAAAAGTTTTACTAATATTAAACAGTTATATATATATTTGTTATAGTATTAACTAGCAATCTAAAGCATGGTAGTAATATAATATAATTAGTATTTGAATATAAACAGGCTTTTTTTTATTAATAATTACTTACTATTTTTTCTAATTTATTATTATCATTATTAATTATTCTTTAATTTATATTATTTATTTATTTTATTTTCTTTGATTTATGTTTTTTATTACAATACAACTATTTATATATTTAATTTTGTAATAAAATATTTAACAAACCTGTATATGATGTTTATTTATACAGTATTCTAGAAATTAACTGCAAATCTGAGTTCTTTTAAAGCCTTTATAGAAAAGAATAAATTAGTAAAAACAATTACTAGTTAAGAAAAAAAAAAAGTATTTGAAAATAAAAAGACCACAATATTAAATGTTAGCTAACCAATAAGATATAGTCATACTAGTTGCACTATATTAGTGTAATCAAGAACCATATCACTAACAGCAGCTAACTAACGAAACGTAAACATACTAGTTGAACTATGCCATCTATCAACAACAGACTTTAGCTAACAAACTAGACTTGGCATAATAGTCACTAGTCCACTTTGTCAATATTGTCTGTTCGAAGCTAAGATAGCTAAATAATAGCTAACCAACAGAACATAAGCATACTAGTTACACTATATTAATTCAAATGTGGCGAAAACTAACTTCCAATGGGATATAGACATACTGGTAGCTAGCTTCTCGGAATTGCAATATAACATAATTGTCTCTAAACTTTCTTATCTTATACTTCAATAAAAACATATGCCTAACCTCAAAATTAAAAAGAACTAGATTATTTAATGATTCTGAATTTTTATTTGTCATATTATTAAACATGACAATAATCAGTAAAATAGAACACAAAAATAAATAAAATTTATATATTTAATATATTATATGAATATGAATAGCAGAAAAGTACCACTTCGGTTACCAAAATTAAGTTTTAAAATATCAAATTTATAAAAAAATATGTAAATAATATACAAATACATGTGTATACAAATATACGTAAAAAGCATAAAAATACTATGTATAGAGTATAAAAAAAGTCCATATGAATAATTTAAAAAAAGTCCATGTGAATAATTTAAAAAAAAGTCCATGTAAATAATTTAAAAAAGTCCATGTAAATAGTATAAAAAATACATGTAAAAAAATATCAAAAATTTTTTATACAGTATAAAATAATAAATACTTATATAATAATTGAAATTATTTTTTTATAGGAGTCTTTGATAAAAATTCTTGAATAGCTTCAAAAAAACCAGGTTGGTTAACAATATCTCTATGTTTACCATTAGGAAATTCTACCCATTCTTTATCTGCAGTTGTTTTAGCTAAATCATATAAAGATTTCATATGATCTTGAGGTACTATTGTATCGCTACCACTTGCAAGAAATAATATTGGTGTTGCTTTAATTTCACCTATTGACCATTCCGATGACCAGGTTTGGGTAAAGAAAGGAGAAAGAGGAAATAGATAAAAATTCTTCGAAAAAAGTTTAGGCTAGAAGTAACATTGGTAATGAACGATTTATCCCATAAGTTAAAGTTCTTAAAAGAATGAATAACTAATATAATAAATTTATTACTCACAATACTAAGAAATGTATTTTCTATTATCAAGGCATCAATCTATTTTTGTTTATTAAGAAAATGAATTTTCAATTTAAACAAAAAATATGAAAAACGAATTTGGAAATGACGATACCATGTCTTCGTTCTTTGCTACAAGATCAATAGCCACTGCACCTCCCAACGACCGTCCATAAACGATCAATTTCGTGTTCTTTAATACGTTATGTTTTTTTATGTAATTTAAAAAGGTCTAATTGTTTGAACAAAAAATTAGAATTTCATATTTCATGAGCAACAATATATGATATTAACTATATATGGACTAGATGCTAAGAAAAAGGGGACCAAATTAACAAATATATATTTTGCTTAACTAATCCAAAATTAGCTCTTCAAAGGTTGTATTTTTTTTTATATGATATATCAGAATTTATAATATAAAATTATTTATTGAAATATTATTTCTTGTTAATTTGGTCTCTTATTTATAGTATCTAACTCGCATATACATATATATTACCTGAGCGTCATTCTTGATGCCTTGTTCGGTAGGTTTACCTTCGCTACGATCATATCTATAAATAAACGTTAAGTGAATGAAGAAATTTGCACAAATAATAAACCATAAAGAAGAAGATTCATTCTTACCCTCTGTAAGAAGGTAAAACAACATTGCATTTAATTTCATGGTAAAATTTAGATACAATTTTAGATTGACAACCCTATTAACGTTAATAATAAAATTAACGATTATTTTTTGTACATAATATTTCAAAAAGTTTTACAATATCACGTAAAGATACGAACAATATTTCCGCGATTTCCCTATAGAATTGCAAATGAATTTAATTAATCATCAAGGTAACTTATATGTTTAGTAGCGTTAGGTTTTTACGTACATGTAAAATTAATACTGTTGGCCTTTTTTTAGCTTCTTTTTCAACACGAGGTTTACAAACATATGTTCGAATTTTAACATTGTCTTCTGTTTCTAGCGTAGCCTCACAAAATGGAACTCCGTCTTCCGAAAACAGAGGAGCTACCTGATATTATTTAATAAATCAAATCAATTATTCAATTCTAGTAAGAGAGATATTTAATTATTTTAAAATTTACATACATAATGACGAGCTTCACTCCTATGTTTTATGGGATAAATTAAATTCGATTGAGCTTCATGGAACAAAGCTCCAGTACTAAATGTAGCTGCTGCTGCGATAAGAGCACAAGAAATTGGTTCCATTTTTTTCGAATGTTTATTATCAAAATTATCGAAATTGTCAAAGTGATGAAAGTGATGATACTCGTAATTTTTCGAATCTTTTATATATGAAATTTTTTATAATTACATATAACACATTATATAACTACATATAACACATTATATAACTACATATAACACATTATATAACATACAACGATAAATAGAAATGTTTATCAAACACCAAATTAATCCGTTCCGTTGAAATAAGCTGTATTACATCACTATGATCTCACAATACTTCCTGCCTTGTGACATAAACTTAATTCAAACTAACGCTAAATTTATGAGCAAGATTTGGCATGGGAATGTTTGGCACACCTCTAAAATTACATTATCGTCATACTTCAGCCTCTATGTATTTTTGTCCAAAACTTACATTATATCCCTATATGGTGGATCTCAATGGCTCTGTGTCTCGAATATATACAAGATGCTAAACGAAAATATCTTTGTTTTTAAAACAAAAAAAAACAAAGGTGTAATTATTTGAACAAAAGCTAATTCAAACTTATGAGATGGGAATGTTTGGCACGTCTCTTACATTACTACATTATCGTTATACTCCAGCTTCTATGTATTTTTTGTCCAAAACGTACATTATATCTCTATATGATATCTCAATGGCTCTGTGTCCCGAATATACAAGATACTAAACAATGACATCTTTAAAAAAAAAAAACAATGGTGTAATTATTTGAACAAAAGCAATTCAAACTTTGTCTAATTTTTTTCAAAACTTGCATTCAGATAGAAATTTCTAAAAAGATCGTATGTACGTAAGATTAAACTCTATTTAGCTTAATTAACGTTTCTATGCACTGTAAATTTTAATCTTCATGTTGCAAAACAATATATTGTATTCTAGCTGTCTTAGCTAATATTGTTTTAACATTATGCACATGCATGATGCAAGAGAGCCAGCCCTTTGGAATTATTATATGTCTATCCTAAAAAAATATAAAAATTCATTCCTGTATTACCAATTAACGTTACCGTCAATATCTTAAAGCGGTTATTTTGCGTTAGTACCGATTAACGTTTACGCTAATAACTTAAAGCGGCTATTATGATAAAATCTTGCGTTAGTTTTCGATCGTTATCTTGCATTATACAGATAGCTTAAAGCGGTTGTTATTGCGTTAGTTGTTTATCGATCGTTATCTGACTTGTACGGTTTTTGGAAGTCGTTCGCGCCTTTCTATCGCCTTTCTATTTGTACTACTGTATATATTTAGCGCTCTGGCTTATCGAATTGATAGCCATTTGATCTGTTACACAATAATCCCGTCATTTGATTCTATTTTATCCGATACCCGCGTTCCGATGATACAGTATGTGCATTGTATAATACTAAGTGAACTACTTATCGCGAAGAATAGTGTCTGTCGTTGGCTGAGTTTAATTTGTGCTTAAAAAGAAAATTAAAATCTATGCAACAAGAGGTAAGTTTAACAAAAAAAAATCAAAATTTTTCGTACTAGAATACACGAGTAACGCCAGACTTCAAGATTTTAAACTTATCAGGCTAATCCTTAAAAACATTTACAGCGAGGCCTCCCTAATGCAAGGTTTCTCTAAATGCAACTCCTCAAATATATACTTGATCTCTATAAATGAATTTTTGGTCTCTGCAAGTTGCGCTTAATGAGGTTGAATTTAGTGGTGCAGGCGTATTCGAAAATTACAACCCAGAATACGTCTCAGCATGTAGTAACATCATCGTATTATTGCGGCACACGCCATTTGACGTATTGTATGTTGTATGTCGCAATATGTGTAGTGATGGGAAAAACGCGTATTGGTCCATCTCTGAATATGTGTGTATATGTCATGCCTATGTTGTAATATCATTATGCAATGCGTTTCTTTCAACTTGTTTATTACGTACTGTATATATTATTATTAATAAACTTTATAAACTTTATTACTAAACAGTAAATCTACGTTCGTGCCCGATTCCTTAGCTAAGCATTTATTTTAAGCCAATATTATAACAAACCAATTGTTTGATTCTATCTCGTTTTGTTTTTCATACAATGAGCTATTTATTATTACTAGAATTACTACATCCTACCGAAGTTTGTCAATATTACATATGAGTTACAACTTCTAAATACGACTGGAGTTACTATCTCTGTATAATATAATATTAAATTACAATTACAATATACAGTTCGTGTAAAAATTTTTGGACGAATTCACGTGAAAATCACTTTTATGCGATCATCTAGAGTTTGGAACCGGTTTTATTTTTCATATGTTAAAACCGGGTTTAATCGGTTTTAGCATATGAAAATAAAACCGGTTCAAAACATGGCGTACCCAGCAGTCTTTCTATGATTGGCCAATAAATACCTCACATTACGATTTAACGCGATTTTTGTTTATCTAACGAACTTATGTCGTCTTCATCTTTTATATTCTAGTTGGTAAGGAATGTTTACTGTGTACTTGAAACCAAAAATTTATAACTCTACATGCTATATAATTTTTTTTTCTAGATAAGAAAATTTCTGCTTACTTCTTTTATTATTTTAAGCATTTTTAACCACCATTTTCGCCAAGTAGCAGGAAGTTTAGCAGAAAATTTTCCTTCATAATTAGAGATCTTATTTCTTCAAGAGAGTGATTATATGATCATAACACAAATAGTATGTCTTGGAGAAAGAAGAAGCTGAAGCAATTTGCCAACTTGTGATATTGTTAACTAATCAGGTAAAATTTTTTGCTGGTTTTTTTTTGGATCTTCTTTAGTATAGCTGGGCAATAAAGAAATATTATATAAGATTATAATATAAAAAACTCTAACTCTAACTTTAATCTAACTTTAATATAACTATAAACCTCACCCTAACTCTAACTATTCTCAAATTTGCTTAAACTAGATTAATTATATTACAGTCAGGGGATTTACCAAATTAAGAAATCATGTTCTAGAATAATCTACAAATGGATTTCTGAATTTGATTGACTCTCACATGTCTTTTTCTCCTCAAACATTGTACAATTTGAAAAAAAATTTTTTTAATAGTTATTAAGTTCTAGTAAGTTTCAAACACATACTTCAAGACACCTAGTTTCAATAATCAAAATTAATTAACAGCAGCAAACTTTTTTTGCCAAAGTAAATGAGAGGCTAAAAAAAAGGTATTTACTTCATATTGGAGGTTAAGAATTATTATTAGTCAACTTAAGATATTTTTTTTGTACTATTTTGTATTTGTATTAAACAAAGATTTAAATACTACAACTTTTATATTTTAATTTAAATCTTGTATAGATATCAGTATGGCTTGCAAAAGAAAACTTAAAATATTTAAGATTAAACATAGCATAATATTAAAAACAAATAGTTGGGATAGATAGAGATAGCAAGATAGTTAGATATATACGTAGCATGATAATTAGAACAAATATAGCATATTAGTGAACAAACTTAGCACAATAATTAGATAGATTCAGAATGAATGTAAGAATAATAGGTAGACTTAGGATTAGAGTTGGTAGATTTGGGACAAGAGTTAGATAAATTCGGGATGTGATATAGCACGATTAATAAATAAAAAATAAATTTTATTTTAAAAAAACAAAGTCAATAAAATTGTATTCTCAATACATATTACAGTATTATATTAATTAAATTTAAAAATGAAGTAAAAAAAATTTTTTTTACTTGACGGCAACGATTATGCTTTGAAAATTTCCAGAATCAATCGAGTGATGATCTATACCTATATAAGATGTGATCTGCACTATCCATTTATGGTATATTCTCTGACTAGGGATACAGAATATCTGCGATAGCATAATATGTGCATAAACTTGATATTTATTGCATAGCATATGCGATAGCATATTTTATATAAAGAGCAGAATTCGCATAATTATACAAAATTTTTAAACGCATAATTCTGCGTATCAAAAAGAACTGCATAAAGCAGGTCGGCAAGCTTTGCAGTCAAATTAGCGATGCATAATCTTAGCTGGTGGTTTCCTACTTGTGTAATGCAGGCCAGCTATAAAATCTGAAGAATTTGCAAAGGAAGGTACGAATTTGCTTGGTTATCTTAGTAATTGCGCTATATACCCTTAATTGGTAATTCATTAAGTTTTTATTTATCTTTCTCCTTGCATACGTATAATGGGTTTTTCTTGTTGGAATCGGGATTACCCATATGATTGTTGGCTCATTAATGCATCGCCATTTAGCTGTTTTTCGATCTGTGTCAACTAGAAATAATTTCTAATTAGAAAAAAAAATTCATACTTTCGATGGTTTCTGCAAGTGAACGAAGACTTGAAAATTCGCTGTATAAACAAAATTTTTATGTAGATGGTCAAAAATTAT